CCATCCACAATGCGAGTTACTTCCGACACTGAACAAGTCCGTTTGGAGGAAGTCGCCTGCAAATTCAACATCGATGATGAGTGGACCGATACGAATGGGATGTTGTATGCCGCTGTGCAACTCGTCCATGCCTTCGATGAAATTGGTTGAAGGGCTCTGCCCTTCTCACAGCCTTAGACTCCCCAGTCACTGTTGAGCGTCCAAAGTCCAGAGTCGAGGCATGGTGCCTGAGAACGAAAATGCCCAAATGGCAAACATATCGCTTTGCTAGCTGATAGCGGGCTTACACGGTTTGCGAACATTTTTATCGCGCTCGTTTGAGCACACCAGCCAGGTAATTCGTCTATATGCTTCGATAGGTCTGTATCTGACGTCAAAATTTACAACAGTCTTCTGTTCTGATTAACGCGAGCGTTGTCACTCATTATCCTTATGCGAACAGCAGTAGTTCTGCCTACCTCTTCTCTTCTTTTTCCGAGCAAGTAAACCGGCTACGCCGTGCTCGAGGACTCCACGAAACCGGGCATAAATGGATGGTGTTGACTTGTTCGTTCTCAGTCGATGCTGCAGCCTCAAATCTCTTCAGGAACAAGGAGCTATGGGTATGAAACCTTCTTCATCACGAGGCATATCAAAGTAGCTGCTGTATGAGATTCCTCCGCCTATCGAGAAACGTGCTGGCGGAAGATTCATTGATTTGCGCGGTATGTCCTTTGAATATCGCGTACCTTTGCCGTCTCTCTGAATCACTTCCTCCTTATACCCGCTACGGCCAACCCAATGTCTGCTACCTCGAGTACCTGAATCACACCCTATCAACTTTATTCACCGAAGCTCTACGACTCCCTTTACTGGCCCCTCACCAGTCAAAGCTTGGCTGACCAAGAGAACCTGCCAGCTCCAGAGCCAATTCTATCAATTCCGGACAAGTTCCCACACGAGCTCAAGGGCTACTTCAATACGGTGATACTCGACGAGCGCATACCCTCCGCAATGCGGCCTCTAATCAATCGCGCGCTGTCCGTTAGCTAGGGGCCAAGTTCCATCTTCATCTCTCCGCGACCCTCATCTTCAATTCTATTGGAAATTTTCGGGGCTATATGCCGTTTCCCTTCCCCAGTCCTTCACTCTGGAGCACCGCAGATTGGGAAGCCCTTGGCATCAATAGCAACACGAGCTGTATTCCGAAAACACGGAATATGACTCTAGACGTGGACATGACTCGCTTGTCTGACGATGCCCTCCATCGCCAACGACTACCACTGAATACGACAGTCCTCGTCGTTCCATCTGTTTCCTCTTACTTTTGTTGCTAGGGGGCTCGGTATCGCATGTAATGCTCCTGATGCGGAAGACGAAGGCACCAATAACTACGCGCCTATTATCTTGCTGCAATGTCTGACATGACTAATAACCGGTATGCCAATTGAATGGATCCTCAATAGACCTATTTCACTCCGATACTCGAAAAATGGGTGTTATGATTCAACTCAACACTTGCCCCTGGAAACATTAGGCCTTTGGGGGATAATGACTTCCTCATCGATCACTCACGAAATCTTATTCACTCAATTTTTAAGTTATGAGACCTTCACTAATGGAATTTGCGATCCGCTGAGACGCTGACCACGCTTTCAATTGTGGAGGTTAAAAGAAGGATGCGCGCCAAAGGACGGTCAACCAACTTTGTGATATGGTAGTGGAGTGTTCTATACCTCCCAACCTTCCACCGCGCAATACCTAACGACAGTGTTAGCCAGAACTCGGCCGTGGTTTCCAACTACAACGGTTGATTCCTTCGCAAGGCTGACTCTCTAACTTCCATCGACATGCCTGGGGCCAAGGATCACCGCGATTTCTGACAGCGCTCACGGCCTTGCTGCTGTGGGGTATGCTCTCACCTTGGACCTGCTTGATAAGACCCCTGTCAATCCTCATCTGATTACAAAGGCCATCATAATACAGGAGGCGCGAGCTAGTGGGATGGTTAAAAGAATCATCCCACCGCGTCCCCGCATTTGATAACCAGTAAGTTACGGAGAGAGAGAGGTAGTCTTGCCAGATTTACATATCTATACTGATACGCTCTTGCCATTCATAATTTTCTTTGGTCTTCCATGACAATGAAGGCAATCATCCCTTCATCGTCTTGGTACGAACCACCGGAAAGAGTGAGGAGCCCTCAAACGCAACGCCCGCGGTCCTTTGCGCGTATGTTGATTTCACTAGCCTACGAACAAAAGTTATTACGGAGACAACGGGGCCCAGACGCGAGCTGGTGGATCAACCATTCCAATGGAGAGGTTAAACCCATCATCCTTCCTTGGATTCGCCCTAGTCGCAAGACGATCAATATCGAGACGTGGTTTCCAGAACAAATACTTCCCATCTGGTCCCTTGGTGGTTTGCAAGTTCCATTCATTGCGATGATGTATCCCAAGGAACTAAAGCTAAGCGACAAGACTGAACTGGGCTGAGCGGTTGTGGACTTCACGGAGGTCTTCTCAGCATAAGTTTGCAATGCATGACCACTTTCAAAGTGAGAGGATTAGTGAGGAGGTGCATCTGTTAAAACCAGGACTCTCAAATTCGTTTTGTGGGTATATCGAGGATTTCGTGGAGCATTGGATTCAATAGCATAAGAACTCAAAATGTACGTTCTCAGCCAGCCGATCATGTCGATGATATTGCTTTGGCTGACAATTTTAGGACGAATCGAACAAAGAATATTCTGCAGATACCTTAACCCATGAAGTAAGTCATGTTGGCGACTAGCCAGGTTCCATATCGCAAATCTTGCGGGGAATACATGTACATATACCCAGTGATGAGCCGGCTGAGAGTCTCAGCAGAAGAGGATAATGTCAAATGAACTCGAACAATAGGGCAAAAAGGCGTCAAACAAGCTTAGAGAACCTCCATCGGATGCAGAATATAGACTAGAACGTTCTCGCGTGGTATAAATGCTCCACGACCCAAAAAGGAAGGCACCCCGTGCATGGCAAAGATAGCTAGGCGGGGGCTAGGCTGTTCCTGGTTAGATCAAGAGCTTGTTCACTAATCCCGCTTCTTAACTCCAGCGATCCGGCGATGCCGAGGTATCCATCCTGAAGCTGATTAGCAATCACTTGATGGAAAAGCCTAGAATGTATGTCTCATTGGCATTTGCATTGTTACACTAAGCTCCTTGAAAGTTTCGGACACTGGATCGGTGATTGATCGTCATGATGCAATACGTAATTGGGCCCACCGGCTTCTACCCTCAATTCTTAAGGATTGGTAAGCGTCACCTGGCGGCATATCATTATAAATCCTTCCATCCTGGGCGACTTCCAAAGAATTAGTACGCCAAAATCCATAGCAGATTCAAAATGTCCACCCAGAAAGCAGTCGTCATCACCAGCCCCAAGCAGGCGAACTTGGTCACCGACCGCCCCATCCCCAAGCTGCGCGATGATTACATCCTCATTAAGACCGTCAGCGTGGCCCTGAACCCCACAGACTGGAAGCACATCGATTATCTGGCTCCTCCTGGCGTGCTAGTCGGCTGCGACTACGCCGGTATCGTCGAGGAAGTGGGCAAGGACGTCAAGAAGCCCTTCAAGAAGGGCGACAGAGTCTGCGGGTTCGCTCACGGCTCCAACGCCGTGCAGCCCGAGGACGGCACGTTTGCCGAGTACATCGTCGCCAAGGGCGACCTGCAAATCCACATCCCCGATAATCTGAGCTTCCAGGAAGCCGCCACGCTGGGTGTCGGTATCACCACCGTCGGCCAATCGCTCTATCAGTCTCTTAAACTCAATTGGCCAACAGAACCGATCAAGGACGCTCAGCCTCTCTTGATCTATGGCGGTTCCACCGCCACGGGTACCCTGGCTATCCAGTTCGCCAAGCTGTCGGGCTACCGGGTGCTGACAACGTGCTCGCCGCGCAACTTTGAGCTCGTCAAGAGTCTGGGCGCCGATGCGGTGTATGACTACAACGACCCCAACGCCGCGGCAGAGATCCGCAAGGCCACCGACAACAAGCTCAAGTATGTGCTGGACACGATCTCGCTGGAGTCGAGCGCCAAGTTCTGCGACGAGGCGCTGAGCACCGAGGGAGGAGAGTACACTGCTCTTCTGGTTGTCCCCATTAAGCGCGAGAATGTCAACGATCGCTGGACGCTGGGCTACACTGCCGTAGGTGAAAGGTTCACGTTTGGCGACAAGGAATTCCCTGCGAAGCCGGAAGATTTCGAATTTGCGAGCAAGTTCTGGTCTGTCACTGAGAAGTTGCTGGCAGGGGGCAAGGTCAAGCCGCACCGGCCCAAGGTGTGTCCGGATGGGCTGAAGGGTGTTCTGAATGGCCTGCAGCTCATGAGAGAGGGCAAGGTCAGCGGAGAAAAGTTGGTGTACAATGTTGCTGAGACGCCATGAATCGCACCTAGTGTATTTGTGTCTAATATAATGAAGCACACAATTTTACATAATCTCTGCCGCTAGGTAGCACCGAGAAGAAAGTACTTCCTGAGAACATCTTCTATTGGCTTTAGTCCTTTGCTTCTCGCTTCCCATCTCCAAGCACCGGAATCATCACTATGGGTACCGTGATGCAAGTAGTCGGCACATATGTTTATATACATCACTTTCTTTTCACCAAGTCTGAAGCTAACTTGAAGATATGTCTGTTGTGATGCCGATACCATCAAACTATGGGATCCATCTTCCGTCTGGTAATAAATAGTCAGGAAGAGGCCTCTTCATCGGAATCAGTTACCGAAGTGAGAAGCGAGAAGTGAGAGTGAAGTGGTGATCGACCCGACCCACCCACGCCCTTCGGTTCAACAAGCCGAACATTTATCTGACTCAATACAGTCAACTTGGACCTTTATTCTTTCAACATATCGACAACAAAGAGGCAAAATGGAATCAGACATTCAACTACGTCTACGCTCAGAAGAACAATCTTTAAACTCTATTCAGGATCATGACCACGAACAAAATCAACAGCTCCCTCCGATGGACGGCGGGAAAGACGCCTGGCTTTTCCTAGCGGCATGTTTCATGATAGAGGCCCTTATATGGGGTAAGCTCCTACACCTACACAGTCCATCAGTTCTAGCAGACCTAATTCATGTCCAGGCTTCTCCTTCGCCTTTGGTATCTTCCAGGACTACTACAGCACCCATGAGCCCTTCCAAGGGTCCAGCAATATCGCCATCATCGGAACATGCACAATGGTAAGTAATCCTCACCAACGTACAACAAAAGACCAGCTGCTGATCACTGCTTTAGGGCGTCAACTATCTCCTTGCCCCCGTTAACTTTGGCATTCTCCTTGCTTTCCCGCGGTTACGCATCTGGGCCGCACCAGCGGGTTTTGTGACCATGTCCCTGGCCCTGGCGCTCAGCTCGTTCTCCACGACCACAACGGAGTTGATCATCTCCCAGGGTGTTTTCTACGGGCTTGGCGCGAGTGTCGCTTACACGCCGACCATCATCTTCATGGATGAGTGGTTTGCGAGACGGAAGGGGCTTGCGTTTGGGATTATGTGGGTAAGTATCCCACTCTCCGCAGCTTATACTACCATAGTAAAAAAAAAGGAAGGCAGGAACAGGTCTCGCCGGTGTCGTGCTTCCAGTTGTACTACAATGGCTTCTGAATACGTACGGATACCGCGTCGCCCTGCGCGCCTGGGCCGTGATCCTCTTCGTGCTTGCGGCGCCTCTGCTCTATTTTGTGAAACCGCGCGTGCCTATTTCGGCGTCGTCCAGCATGCGCACGTTCAACCTCTCTTTCGTCCTTGACCGGACGTTTTTGATCTATCAGGCGGGGAATATTATCGAGGCGCTGGGGTATTTCCTTCCCACGATCTACCTTCCGACGTATGCGCGCTCACTGGGTGCGAATAACCTCACCGCATCGCTGACCGTCATCCTATTGAACCTTGCTTCGGTCTTTGGGTGTATTATCATGGGCTCATTGGTTGACCGCTGCCATGCGACAACTTGTATACTCATCTCAACTGTTGGAACCGTGTTGGCGACGTTCCTGCTGTGGGGGTTCGCGGTCAGTCTGGCGCCATTGTTCATTTTCTGCGTGGCCTATGGCGTATTTGCGGGCTCATTCACGTCGACATGGCCTGCTATCCTGGGAGAAGTGCGGAGGAAAAATGCCTATGCGGATCCGGGCATTGTGTTTGGGTTCTTGTGTTCGGGACGGGGGATCGGGAATGTGGTTAGTGGGCCGTTAAGTGAGGCCTTGATGGCGGGGGAGAAGTGGAGGGCGGGGTACGGGTACGGCAGCGGATATGGAGGGCTGATCGTGTTTACAGGCGTGACAGCCCTCTTTGGGGGGTTGAGTGTGTTGGCAAGGCCGTTGAAATGGCTGTAAACTTTTTAAACTATCACCAAGTCAACATCATGTTCCCGAGATCGGAAGAGCTGCGGGGTTGCATGACTCACGGCTATACTCTTAGCCATGACCACAGACATATCTTCAACGTCTCAATCAACTTCGTCAAGCACCAAATGACCAAGACATTGATCAACACATCTGCAAAATGTCCAGAATTAAATTCGCCATCCTCGATGACTACCAAAACCTCTCCCGCAAGCACTTCGCCCACCTCACCTTCCGCGTGGACATCTCCTACTTCCCCGACACCCTCGACCCGCGCGTTCCCGCGCAACAGCAGCAGCTGATCGCCCGCCTGCGGCCATTTGACGCCATTCTTGCTATGCGCGAACGGACTCCCTTCAACGCAGCCACAATCGCCGCCCTCCCCAACCTGAAACTCCTCCTAACAACCGGTAACCGCAATTTATCCCTCGACCTCCCCGCCCTCACCGCGCGCGGGATCCCCGTTGCCGGGACCGTCGGCCGCCCCCCAGGCGTCAACTCTACTGTCCAACACACCTGGGCGCTGATCCTCGCTCTGGCGCGGCACGTCGCGCGCGACGACGCAGCCGTCAAGGCAGGAAAATGGCAGGGTTCGCTCGGTGTCAATCTATCCGGCAAGACGCTCGCGCTGCTGGGACTCGGCAAGCTGGGCGCGCAGGTGGGGCGGATCGCGGTCCTCGCGTTCGGTATGAGGGTTATCGCATGGTCTGCGAATCTGACGCAGGAGAAGGCAGACGAGCAGGCGACCGCGCAGGGGCTACCGGCGGGGAGCTTCGAGGCGGTGCCGGAGAAGGGGGAATTCCTACGGCGGGCGGACGTGCTCAGCGTGCATTATGTGCTGTCTGAGCGGAGTCGGGGCATCGTCGGGGCGGAGGACCTGGCTGCGCTGCGGCCGGACGCCATGATCGTCAATACATCGCGGGGTCCGCTGATTGATGAGCGGGCGCTGCTGGAGACGCTGAACGCGGGTCGGATCCGGGGCGCGGCGCTCGACGTGTTTGATCCGGAGCCTCTACCTGTTGATAGTCCTTGGCGGACGACGGATTGGGGGGTTGATGGGCGCAGTGAGGTGCTGTTGACGCCGCATATGGGGTATGGGGAGGAGGAGCTGATCAACGGGTGGTATAAGGAGGCGGCTGAGAACTTGGAGCGGTGGCTGGATGGCAAGGAGCTGCAAGTCAGGTTGAATTGATCATATGCATATGATGTACGTAGTGACACGATGCATCGCTGGCGTGCATGACATGTGGGATGTCCATACTCCGTAATTACTGATTCCCTATCCTGATGGAGTAAATCACCCGGTATGAAAGTTCAATCTGAAACCTGCTAGAGTTGACTTGCACGTGGATGCTCACCGGCACGACCAATTCGTCCTTTCAGATGCCAATCAGACTATCAGGCTATGCAGAACCTTAATGTTGCCTAATATACTCCGTAGTGCCATTCCTCAGACGGTTGGCAATTGTGCTTGGTCGATGTAAACAATTGATTATACCTCGGCAACATGACCGCCGCGGCGCCGCAAACTGCTCAGTCGGTCCGGACCCACAGAACCCCGTTCCATATTTCCGCTGCACAGCATTCCTCGGTAGAAGGGATCCCGTAGAGACATAGGCCTGCTTTGAACTTAGCTAGTGCCTATCATGAAGCAAGTAAACAAATGATGCAAACCATGCCATCATCAACAGGAACACCGGCAGGAATCGGATCACCCCACATTCACATTCATCTCTTCGTATAAGTAGGCGGGGTACTTCATTCCCAGTTCAGGATTATTTCTGTATATTTCCATACATACAAAATTGACTCTATCTACCTCCTCAATTGGCATTTTTAAGGTTCTATCTTGCAATTTCTCAAAGAATTAATCCAATTGAACCACTATATCAACCACAATGGCCCCCATTGCCGTCCAAGAAGCGACCCCCACAACCTGTACAACAACAACTACCCCACAACCAACCCATCCCAGCTTGATTCAAGTCAACCGCTCCCCAAAAGCCTTCGGCAGCAGCGCCTCCTCGCTCGTCTCGCTCCCAGCAGGCGCCGTACTTGCCAAAATCACCACCGCCACGCCCTCGAAGAAGGCCTACACATCCGTCCAGACGGGCCGGGACAGCCACATCGAGCTGAACTCGGACCTGGTGTTTTGCAACCACTCATGCGACCCGAGTTTGAACTTTGATATGGATAAGATGGAGGTGCGGGTTGTGGACGACCGGCCGCTGAAGGTCGGGGATGCGTTGACGTTCTTCTATCCCAGTTCGGAGTGGGAGATGGATCAGGCGTTCAACTGTAACTGCGGGAGTACCAAGTGTAAGGGGTGGATCTCTGGGGCGAAGACGATGGGGAGAGAGGAGCTGGAGGGGTACTGGTTGAATCCGCATATCGAGGAGATGTTGAGGGAGAGGGACGGGCAGCTGTGATGGTGTTTTGTTAAAATTGAGTAGACTTGATAGACTCGGGGGTATATACATGGGATATTGGTGTACAAAGTACTGCACAGGTCTATGATACGGCTTGCTTTTGATTCGTTCATCTTCTCATGCAGCTCGTCGATCCGATCCTTCAGTGATCGAATGGCTTCTTCGACAGACGCCTCAGACTGATCCAGCTCCTCGACTCTCCCATCCAATCCCCTCGATTCATTCCTCACCCTGGAGTACTCCTCATACTCGCCCTCCCCAAAACGCACCCCGTACCCCTCACAAGCTGGGTTGCGACGCAGAGGAAACACTATATAATTAGCGCCAGGGATAGAGATCTCTGTATACCAGACAATATCCAAATATACATATCATATCAGACTCCATCATGCTTGCTGAGCCTTAATCCAAATATCTCTCCCCGCAACCAGAGTACTCACTACCATCGCCATGCCCACCACCACCTCACTCACCTGAATCCATCCCAAAAATGCCCCAGGAATCAGCAAATCACACCCATCAACCACAATCCGCTTAATTAGAGGTCCAGAGACCCCAGCTTTCCTCTCCTTGCTACTCCCGCCCTTCTTCTCATCCCGCTGCGCCTTACCCGCAGAAGCAGAAGTAGAACCAGAAGCAAACACTAGCCCCCACAAGGCCCCAACAATCGACAACGCCAATGCGTAGAACCAGAATTTGTAGGCCTCAACGATAACAGGCTTATTCCAGTACACGGGGTAGACGTTCATCGCATGGAGCTGTCGACTCATCAGCCCAGCTCGCAGCAAACGAGTAAGACGGAGAAAACTCACAATAGTACAATCCTCCAACACAAAATACAGCCCTAAGCACGTCCACCGGCCGAGCTCAATCAGCGTTGTGGGAAACCCCTCAGCTGCAGAACTGCTACTGCCACTGCTACTGCCTAGCAGCGCAAACACCCGCTCAAAACAATCGAGAAAGTTAAAGAAGCGGAAGAAGCGGCGGGCTAGAGTTAGAGGGAGACAGACGCATAAGTACTTATAGATGGTACATTGGCGGTCATGGAGACACAGGGACTAACTCAGCGCTAATTGCGACTTGGCGGTTGACCAGGTCCTTACTGTTTCATTGTCAATGCTGGTTTCGATGATGATGGTTGCGAGGGCCTGGATGAGTCGGAGGGTTTTCTCGAGGCCTGCTCCTGTGCGGGTGAAGTTGGAGAATTGTTTGATTGCGGAGGGTGTTGCTGAAGGGGGATGAGGGGCTTTCACTGTCATTGTGATGTTGTTGGACGGCGAGGTGGGATTCAACTGATTAAGAGGGAGGGGAATGTTTACAACTCTATGTTGAAGTGTAAGATTTGGCTTCTTGAGCTTATCGGTCCATCTCAGACCGACAATTGTCTTCATGGAGCATCGGGATCTCTCACCCCTAAATGCCGACTTGGCGCTACAGTCCACAGTCTCAACTAGATAACTGAAGCCAATATGAGAATGGTAGAAGAACAAGAGTACGCATTCTAGCAAAGTCGGATTCGCGCTTCAGAATAACTATGTAAATGATCATCTACACATTGTTGGTCAGACAATCGCAGTCCTCCAGCATCTGTACATTTCACGGACAGTTTACCGCCCCTTTCCACCAGAAATATCCTGTCCCAGCCGGTACCCTCCAACCTTCTCCCATTCCACCTTCTGCCGGGTAATGGGCAATTGTCTCCGCAGGTTCTTGAACGCGCCCTCGGCCATCTGCACGAACGCACGGTTGAGCTCCTCCTGGTAGTCTCGCTCCGCAGCCGCAATGCGGGAGATGATGCTCTCAGCAGAGATTGAGGGAATAGAGATGTTGATGGGCTTGTTCGTGTTGAGAGCCACATTGCCATCCTCATAGTAATGCACATCCACAAGGATCTTGCCGCTCACGGTGGTCGACTCGGACACGGGGACTTGGTAGATGGAGCGGAAGCGACCGTTCCTACAGCGCGTTCCTCATTAGCCCATGCAATTTTTGTGTTGGTTCGCACACTGACCAGAAGTTGTTTGGCGAGTAGCGGTTTGCAACAAGTAGAACCGCGACAGCCGTGTCGTCCTCGGTAGGGTAGACGCCGTAGGAGCAGTTAGGGTAGTGTTCCGCAGCATGTTTAGCGAGCGATTTGAGGAGAGATTTGCTGCACTGGTTAGACCTCGAGTGAACCGCCAGGGAACATGGCAACCTACATTAAATCCGCATTTTGCGATTCCAGAACATAGGATTGCGCAGCGGACGCTTGCTTTGATCCAATCAGCCTCCACACGCCCCTCATCTCACCATCCCACCTACCTGTGTTACATGATCCACCTCGAACGACGTCTGACTCTCGACATCGAAGTATCGGTTTCCCTCTAACTTGTTGAATTCACTGACGATGACCTAAGCCCGACCACCTTGTCAGAATACGGCCCCTTGAAGGTTGCACGCAACGTCGACCCACCTCCTGACTAGCTCCGGGCAGCTTCACGGTAGTGAATTGCTTCTCATTGTATCTTTCAAACGCAGGCGCAAGAGAGGGGATAATATCCGATTCGTCCGAGGTAAGTGCCTTGATATCTGTCGTGGACGAAGTGATTCAGTAAGACGACCTGATCGGGATTGAACGCAGCTGGCCAAGGGGATCGCGGGGAAGTACTGCGGATAGGGGATTGCGGGAGATAATACCAGCGACGACATCAGAGAGCTAGAAGTGTATGATTAGTTTTGTATGCTCGATGAGAAAGCAATAACGTAGATTTCAATAGGAGGAATGGAGGCCTACCTCGCCTGGCGGGGCACCTTCGATGAACGAGGATGCGAGCTCAACTGTGGAACCCATCACGGCAAATTCAACTTGAGAATTAGCTGATTCTAAAATTGAGTTCTAATGTGTCTTATTCAAAACAGGAATGAGCTCAAAAATATCAAAGAGAGGACAGAGCAAGAAGATGTAAACAAGGGTAGCTCTGCACAGCTCAATTGCTTGTCAGCGGAGATGGAGCTCTAGCGCGATAACGACTATCTTGCACGTGGCCTGGGCAAAGAGACCGTAGCCATCTAAGACTATAACTGCATGATTGAGAATGCTCTGGTAACCATATCATTACAATTGATAGAAGACTGGGGTAAAATCATATTCAAGCTAAGAACTAAGTTAACGCCAGTATTGGTACAAAATTCCGCTCAACGCCGAGCAAAGGAGGTTTGCGCCATTTCAAGTACAAATGCGCCACGCTGAAGAGGCTACAAGAAGTTTCAACTAGAGATTATATGGTATACACGAGTCCAGCTCGTGGTTGCAAGAGTCAGGAGAATTATCAACCCGGACCCAGGCAGAACATTTATTCAATGCTCATATTCATGAAACCATCATTGGCTTCAGTCATACCCTGTAGACCAACGCGCTTTAGAGGTTGCCCAGAATGCGAGGTATTCGACGTATTTCTGGCAGGATGCTCTCCGTTCGGTCGCTCTGGGAATAGCGAGCCTAAGTTGGACTTGGGAGGGGGACCCCAGATGTTGTGCCCTGTATCCTTGACCGCGGGCGAATTCGGCATGACAGGACTACTTTGGACACTCATGCTCGGAGACACGGCTCTCCGTTTGAAAAGATTGGGATCAAAATCATCTTCCCGACGTCGCTTCCGATTGATCTCGGTCATGGCAGGAAAGCTTGCGTGTGGCGTTGAGCTACTCGATCCCGGTCGATCGTACGGTTTAGCGAACTCGGCTGTGCTAGACCCTAGGGTGGTCGACGGCGTGATATCCATGGCAATGTCATCCTCAGACATGGCTGAGGGCCCCAATGAGCGCATAGAGGGCGGTGGTGTGCGGTAGCGCTCATCGAACGTATTCCAGAACTCCGCCCCCGCCGAGTTTCGATGAGCTTCATCGCTGAACTTAGGCTCATCCAGGGTAAACGGACCAGGCTTCGTAGATCCGTCTTCCGAGCTCACCCCTGGTACCGAAGGGGTCAGGGACGACAAGGCGTCCAGGCTTGGGGACGTGTGCGGAACATCAGGTTCGCTCTCACGGACCTGCCGAATAACCTCCGCCTCTCGCTTGGCTTCGCTGTCAATAGGAGCAGACTCCTCCATAAGGGCGGCTCTGATGCGCGCAAATGTCTTTGTTTTAGGCTGGAGACACGGTTAGCTTTGATCATTACCTCGAGCACTACACTCACAAGTAAGCTACCACGCCGAGTCACAGCTCGCCGAATCACACCCAAAGGCCCGCTTTCAGAAGCCGAACCTCCAGCCGAGCTGTGACCATGCCGGCTCTCCCCCTCATCACTCAAATCCGACAGGCGCAAGTCGCGAGTCCCAAGGCTGAGACTCTCGCGACGGGGCCCGAGACCTTGTTTCGAACCGAAATAACCACAGTTAGGATTCTCAATGCTTTTCATTACCGGCGGGGAGAGAGGCCCCGGACTCTGCTTCGAGCTATTTCCACTGGCACTGCTGGAGCTGTGTCTGCTACGCCCTTTGCGAAATCGAGCCCGCTGAAAGCTCAACAGGCTAGCTGCTGCCTGTGAATACCCACCCATCCAGTCGTTTCCCGGACTGGGGACGTTTCCCGCAGCAAATGGGCTGGGCCCGCCGACCATCTTGTTCGCCTGGGGTGTGCTGGCTATCATCATATCATCCCGATCGCCTATCATCGGCTCGTCATCCTCCTCGCTACTGCTTGTATCCGACTCCATCATATTCACGCTGGACACGGAACTCGAGATCGCGGTTCGGTCGGCCGGGCCGGATGTCGAGAAAGGACCCATAGAGGTTGACCCCGGCGAGCCACGCCGTTGCGGGATGGTGACACCTCGGCCGCCGACCGTTGGTGACGAATCAGGCGAAGACTCCGCTATGATCGAGTGGTGTAGATTCGTGCATGCTCGGGAGAAATCGAGTCCTCGCGACCGTCGAGGGAGTACTGAGCCCGGGGAGCCGTAGATGTGCGACGAGTCGAGCTTGGGGGAGAGCGGGGCGCGATTTGGTACGGATGCTGATCCGGCTAATTTCGAAGGTAAATTCAATGACAGGTTTGAGTAGTGCATGGACGACCTCCGTGGGGTTTCGGGAGTGGAGGTAATGGAGCTGTCATCTTTGCTGGAGGGGCGCGTGTCTCCCGAGACAGACGGCGAGGCGGAGACGGGTTTGGGCGCATCGGACAGCGAACGGGATTTATTTGAAGGACGCAGTGGCGTTCCGAGGTGACTCGCCCTGTCTCCTGTAGAATCCGTGTCGGTACTGGATTCACTCTGCTCCTTGCTCTGGGACAACTGCTCGCTCAGTCTGCTCGCAAATGGCGGAGCGGGGAGACTGTGCGACAGAGTCGAAGGAGGGGTGGACGACGTCAAATTAGACATTGAGGTAAATTTGAATGCGCGTCGAGGTTCGAGGTCACGCTCGATGATCAGATTCGAAGAAACATCATGAAGCTTGAAGTGCTGATAGTAGATGGTCACAGAATCGGTCTTGTGTTTGTTCGCCTGTGTGGTGTCGTTGCTCGACTACTGCGCGGCGAGATGGAGATAGGTCCTGCTATCTCAAAAATCAGTGTAATATCAGTTTTTGAGGTCGAGCAGAACACAATTCGAAGTACTCGAAGAGAGGAGACGTTGGGATGACTGTCAATAAGCGCTGGGTCTCTTGTCGTCCGGCTGGTCGCGCTGACGTTCCTCGACTGCGCTGGCGAATCACGCGAACTTGTGCCCCGCTTGCGGATCGGCCGCAATTGTTGGCTGCATCTACCTCCTACACTTTCCACCCACTTTAAATGTGATACGAATGCGACAAAAGACGTTCAGCAAGGCGTTTCAGCCAATTGACATGGAGCTCTGATATCTCATCGCCTTCATATAAGGGATTGGAATTCGTTTATCGCAAACATGATTGTAGAGCAATAGTCAGGAAAGTTGATTTGTAAATACCCATATGATGACCCTAGATTACAGAGAAAGAAAGCCAAAGGAGAAAGGTAAAAAAAAAGTAGAAAAAAGAATTAAAAAATCAGAGAAAATAATAGTCGACATGTCTCATTGCATCATATCCAGACATAATTCACGCCAGACTCATGGCCGTACTGACTGGGGCAACATACCACTCCCAATCATTGCAGCTGGTGTGATCATTTGCTGCGTCCACAGGCGAGCCTTTCAGCATGTCACTATCTCGAGCTTGCCAGACCTTGATAATGACAGCTCGTGTGCGAGCGACATTCGAAACACTTGATTCAGCCATCGCCGCCAGCGCTCGTAGAACTAGCGACC